CAAAATAATACTTCAGTCTCTAAATCCTTACAGGAATGTAAAATCAGTAATGCAAATTTGTCGCAAATAGTCATGACTAGCATTGAATAAAATCCACTGTTTGAATCACTGCTTTATTTCATGCATTATTCATATCCAACAAGAAAAGGAAACTGATAATCAAAGTCTAACCTCTATTCTAGTGGCAGGAACCTCATGCTGCATATTGAACCAGATATGTCAGTCCTGTTAGGCTGTGTAACCAATCAAAATAGTAAACAAGTAAGAAAGCAACATAAAGTCATAAACATAGAAGTGTATGGACAATATCATGTAATGAATGAGATAAAGCCTCAATTTTAATTAGTAAATTATTTCATGAAATAACCAGACTAAATTATGTTCAGAATTAACTGTTTAGTAATAAATCATATCAATCACATTTACATGCTTCAGGGGGGTGGGTGGGACTGTTGCAATAGAGAATAAGGGAAAAGGAATGAAAATGTCCAGATTGATAAGTTTAAACAGGCTGGTATGCATACGAGTCGTCAGCAACCAAAACTTCATAACAAGCTGAGTGATGGCATCAAAAATTCACGAATTTCATAATTCTCTGTTCTTCTTATTTGCTCTCTTTTCAAGTAACAATCTTTAAGGTAAATAGTAAAGGTATAATGACTAATAAAAATATAGCAGCAATTATTAGTTGTAGATTTGAGCATAAATTCATCCTGACTGGAAAATTTGCAGCTTGTGTAAAAGAACAAGTCAGAAATATATTTTATGGGAAATGAAGTGTTCAACATTCATGCTTTTTATGTACCAACTTTGCGACAACTTTCCAAAATGAGACCTTAGTTTACAGGGAATTACTGGATAAATTTCCCAAAAAATTAAATAAAATAAAATTAAAAAAAAAAAAAATCTTTTCAAGAGACTTGTCATTTGATAACCCTTTTTTCTCTTAAGTTTATCGGCTTGGAAGAATTTGAAACATATGTTGCTCGCGGTAGTGTACATTCAACATGGACTGGTAGCTTGGGTTAGATGGAGCGTCTGAGTGTAATACCATTCTACGGGCAGCTAGTTCTTAGAATATGAATAAATCTTGACAAAAGAACATTCCCAATCAGGCTTGTTTGGAATAAGCAAAAGTGTTTTATTTTCACAATTGATAATTCGCTAAGTCACACCTATTCTTTATACCACTGTTAAAGTCAGAAAGCAGATCTATGTTTAGACATGGGATCTAACTTCTAAAAGTTCAATTTTTTCCACTTTCTTTGATATTTGCTTGCGATTCATGAACAGAAATTGAAGAGATTGATATTTGTATGTGTATATTTCTGTAATGGAATTAAAGAAAGAGTGTAATTGCAACTTAATGAAATGAAAATTACAATAGATATTGCTAAGCTTTCGAGAGGCTTGTCTCTCTTCCAATTGACACCCTAAGTTCTACCTACTCAATCTCTCTTTCCATGCCCTTAATTATAGTTTGAAGCCTACACAATTTGTTATCCTAAATTTCCATAATACCCTCCCCTACTCTAACCAGATGGAAATATACATCTGCCATTGGTGCCAATCGATACCGGCTCCCTGAAAACTCACATTGTCCTCAAGGTAGAAGTTCAGAATACCTAGCTAGGCAACTACCTTTGCCAACACCCAAGCCATAGTTGAAATGGAAAATGAACATTTTGGTCTGATGAATTAGGTGAACCTACTCAATCGATCAACTACCATTCATAGGGAGTTCATGAAAACCTCATAATCAGTAGCGCCCACTTAACCGAGAAGTTTAAACTATTAGAGAGGACCACATGCATATCACTTAAATTTTGTTGTCAACACGCCCTCGTACGTGCAAGCAGGTTTCAATTTTTTCATCACAGCATGACACGTGCAACAAGGCTTGAACTTCGGACATTTATCTACTGTAGTACCATATTGACCCACATGATCTCTAAAAACTCAAACTGTTAGAAAAGACCACATTTACATGATTTAAATCTTGTCCTCAATACATTTATATAGTCTCGTATCCACAAAACCAAGAACATCATTGATCATGTGACCCATTAATATCCTACTACCAAAATAAATACTAAAGTGGATGACTATGGTGTAAACAACCCACACTTACATTCTAGTAACATAGTTCCCACATTTCAATGTGGTGCTTTGGGTTCATAATCTCGTACATTCTGATTGAGGCTCTAGTAATTAAAAATCAAATCAATAAGTTGGCTTCTAGAAGTGGCTCCACCACGCGAGATGTAGTACTTAGTGTTAGATTTAAGTATTGTAAATTTTCCAAATTAGTAGTATCGTTGTTGACTCTTAAAGCATTATTATGCAAAATTTCATCTTGTTTGATTAGTAAATGTTGAAGGACTTTCCTTTTTCCATATCAATGCTTCTAATGGAGAAATGCCTAGTCCTAAATTTTCTTAACAAGGGAATTTTTGTATAGGAATGTAAACAAATTACTTTCATCAAAGATAACATGTCTTGAAAGATGAACTCCATTTGTTGTTAGATTGAAACAATATGCCTTATGAAACAAAGTACATGTTAATACCTACAAAGAGACAAGGATGTATCTCATAAGAATTTATTACTTTTCAAATCTCTAAAATATGGAAAGTATGCGTTATGCGAGGTTTACCTCTTAAACAACTAAAAGATTTGGAAAATACCATTTTAAGAGTAGTTGAACGTATCTATTAAATGGGAGGGAGTATAAAATAATATATACAATGCTTTAAAGGTAAATTTTAAAAAGTTAAGCAAGTCCTCTTTCAATAATGTGTCTACGTTTCTTTAAGTAAAACCATGTTGTTCAGAAGATTAGGGCAGGAATATTGATAGAAAAATCCAAGTTGCCTTAAATGTCTAAAAAAACAAGGCAATTAAATTCAGCACTTTCAGCACTTCGAAAAATCTGCATTTTTCTCTTGTAATTGGTTTTCTATTAATTTTTAAAATTTAAGAAAACATTTCAAAAATTTGCAGAATCCAAGAAGAGTGAGTACACGTAAAGATGACAATATTTAAAACCTTGGGAAGATAAGACGTGACAAGGTTCCATAAATCACAATGAGTTGGTTGCATTTCTTTCAAATAAAACATGCATGATTCTAGCTAAAGGGCAGCCGGTGATGGACTAATAGACCAGCATCCTGCAATAATTGTGCCTATATTGATCTAGAACTAGAAGCTAGGAATCCCAAAATAATCATGAGATAATAAAGAATTCTCCTTTTTACTGCAAGGCCCTCTAATTTTGTGATATATCAAAGCCATCGTTGCTAGATGTGAGCTAACAAATTCCCTCGTTTGTTGAATCTCTTTATCAGAATGATAATTTTGTACATCATTTTTTAATCATGTTGTTGGACTCTCCAACAGATCTAAAGTACCATCTTAATGATGAAGCCACATTTATTAAAGAAAAAAATCATAAATATTGTTTGACAAAGAATGGGAGTTTGCAACTTTTTTTCATTTAATAATTAACACAGATATTCTCATATTTGTTCAAGCAAAATCATCAAAAAATTGTTTATTGCATAAAAATATTTAAAGATTTAGCCCATGTTTGAGCCACATTATAGGAAGAAAAATGCATTATTCATGTCAAATTAATGAGAAATGTGTAGTTAAAAAATAAGAAATTTTTTTAGATTTACGTGTAATATTATTTTATTGAAAAATGTGGTTGAAATGATGTCAAATCATTGTTGAACAATGTATTTTTTTTAAAAATAATGTGGCTCAAACAAGCCCTTAAAATGGAGATGACCCATTCTTTAGTTTCCCTCTTCTAACCCCGCATGGTCTTTCCTTTTTTCTCCATTTAGCTAGATTTTGCTCGGCTAATCTCTGCATGCATTATTAAAAGTGAGCTGCTCTAAGGATAAAAGATTATGCTTGATTTGAAGAATAATCAACATATTTTCAAAATTTGAATGTCCATATTGTGTTGCAATCTTTTCTTCTACCGGAGAAAATTTTGAGACTTTTACCACTTTCACATCGTATATAATCATTGCCACTATAAAGAATATAACATTATCTAAACCATTCAACACATAAGTGGTGGCATTGAGTCTGTATAAAGATTTGGGTATCTCGTCATGGAGATTTATTACAGGGAGCCTTAGGAACATCTTTGCCATGGTAAAAATGATCGAACCGATTACAACATTCCCAAGGGCACGTATTTAGCCCCCACCACAAATTTGTCAAATTACTCCTTTGTCATTCCTTCTTGGTGATTGTCGGATAGATTGGTTTCTGCTTCCAATAGTTCCTCCATAAACTATAGCCACCATGGCGCTTTCTTATTGATTACATAACCAATGAAGTGTCAGTAGAATATAATAATATATAGCATCAATATTTCTCTATGATAGTTTTACAATAGTGTAGGATTATTTTTCTTTTATAATTGATTGTGTAATAAATACACAATCTTTCCTTTTAGAGTCATTTCCTTTTAGGTTTATTTGTAGCCCTATAAATAGGGTTTTCTCCTTTTAGAGTCATTTCCTTTTAGGTTTATTTGTAGCCCTATAAATAGGATTTTCTCCTTTGTAATATGAAGAACAGTTTATGATATACAATTATTATTTTGACATGGTATCAGAGCTGATTTAATCTTGGGTTAAACTTGTAAGCTTGGTTCCCCGGTGAGCGGCCTCATGCCACTCGTCCAGTCAAATCTTCTTGCTTCAGTCCAATTTCTTCCTCTTTATTTTGATTATTTTCGTTAAGCTATTTTTTCACCAGTTTCGTTGATTAACCCATCGCCACTCCCCATAACCCATACCTAAATCTCTCTCTTTCTGGGCTTTAAGCCTTTTACTGAATCTTGAATATGGATTCCTGCTATTGGTGGGCATTCGTACGTGAACTAGATTTTTCATAAATAAAGGCCTTTTTTTTTGGTGAATCTCTGTGCGGCATTCTCGGTTGATTGAAGCGTGATTTGTTCATGGTAGATTGTTCACAATAATTTGGCGGTTTGGCTATCGAATTCAGCTTATATTTATCTCTCGATGTCATTTATTCAAATGCTCAAGGCCCTTATGCCTGTGGCGGTTTATTCGATTGGAGTGATTTTCAAGGAGACTTTCAAATCAGAGATGATGATGAACATGATTTCGATCTCTATTGGGGTTGGCGTGGCCGCTTATGGAGAGGCTAAATTTGATGCATGGGGAGTGACTCTTCAACTGGGTGCTGTGGCTTTTAAGGCCACAAGGCTTGTCATGATCGAGATCTTGCTTACTTCCAAGGGAATTACTCTTAATCCCATTACATCCCTATATTATGTTGCTCTCTGCTGCTTGGTTTTCTTGTTCATCCCTTGGGTTTTCGCCGAGTTTCCTTTTTTGAAGGAAACCTCCAGCTTCCATTTCGATTTTCTGATTTTCAGGACCAATTCTTTTTGCGCATTTGCATTGAACCTCGCAGTTTTCTTGCTTGTTGGGAAGACACAAGGTTGAATTTGGGTCGGTGTATGAGGTAGGCTGGGTAATGGGTTTTGGGTCCTGAAGTCTGTGGATTAGTTGGGCCCACTGGGGTGGTTATAGGGTGAATGGGCCAGGTGGAGTTGGGCTGGGTTTGTGTTCTAGACTCTTTTTTATGGGCTAGGTAATTTACTTTCAAGTATGTGGATTTTGGTTAATATATATGGGTTGTTTGTTGGACTTGAAATTTGTGTTGGGAAAAAAAAAAAAAAAAATGAGAGAGATTGGGCTAATTTTGTTTGATGTGGGCCTATGTGTGTTTGATGAGTTGCTGAAGATGTATAGGGATTTTTCCACAGAAAAAAAAGGGAGAGTGCATTGAAAATTTGGTGCCCAGTTTCTCGGATTGAAAATTTGGTTTGGTGGTGTATGCCCATTTTATGAGATTGAGATTTGGTTCGGTGTTAGTCCAGTGTATTTGGAATTTGGCTTAGATGGATTTTGGAATTGGTATGTCAAGTTCAATTGAAATTTTTGGTTTAGGCTGTTTGGTGGGATTTCTTCCAACTGCAATATATTGCTGAATTTTGGCCACTGTATTGGCATTATAGTTTTTGTTGAAACACGGATTATGTGTTCGACTGAGTTCTCCCGACAGATAGAGCTCACTGTGTGGGTCGGCACACTTCGTGAATTTCGTTCGAAAATTCTTCTTGGGGAGTGAGTTCTCTGGAGTATCCTTGGAGTGATTGAATCTTCGATTCTCTTTGGTCATAACTCAGCCTTTTAGGTGTGGGTTTTTTGTGGTTGTCCACGGTTGACAGAATTTTTGTCAACTTGTGACTCTTCGGTGCATCAAGTGTTGTGCGAACATTCGGCATTTTAGTGATGATTTGATAGCGTCATCAGTTTCTGGTTGGACAATAATTCTTTGCCGGGAATCGTATCGAGTCTTGAATCAGTTCTTGGGTTTGAAGTTCAGCAAAGTTAAGTTCTTAGTTTATGGGTTCTACAAAAACGTTGACTCGTTCGTGATTGCAAATTGATGCTTTTATCGGCATCAATTTGAGGGGGGATGTCAGTAGAATATAATAATATATAATATCAATATTTCTCTATGATAGTTTTACAATAGTGTAGGATTATTTTTCTTTTATAATTGATTGTGTAATAAATACACAATCTTTCCTTTTAGAGTCATTTCCTTTTAGGTTTATTTGTAGCCCTATAAATAGGGTCTTTTCCTTTGTAATATGAAGAACAGTTTATGATATACAATTATTATTTTGACATGAAGCCTCGTCCCCTTGAGTTGAAGTGACCACAACAATAGTCTATTCTTTTCCTCTTTGGCTAAGGAAAGCTCACTCATGGATTATTTGGTTCGTCTTCTTTGTATATCCGAAGAGGAACATATGTTTATGTGCTTGCAATGCTAAACTATAAGATAGGTGTGGAGATTTACCAAGGGAAAGATTTCTCATTTTAAGATTCAGAAGGATTTCATTCAAAAGAACTTTCTCCTAGGTCATACAAATTTGTTTTTTCGTAGAGTTCCACACCTAAAAAGAGGAATTGACACCATCAATCATCCATAGTGTCATGATCCCTAATAACCATGTGGTTAATTGGTTGTCATTGTTTTCATCTATGAATTGTATTAGGGATCGATCTCCGTCTCACTATCTTATCCCGTTATCTCCTTTTCTTGTTCACTGCTCACGGAGAAGTGATTTCCAGACCAGGACTCCAGACTAGGGGCAAGACTAGTGATCTCCTAATTAGGAAATTGTTGACACTTAAAATTATAGAGATAGTACCAGTACACTGATGAAGAAACTGAATGCTAAGTTGAGTTTAGTATGGGAATTACTTTATTTTCTGCTCTAGATTCAATCCCTTGGGAAGAGCTATAATGCCATATCAAATTCAAATTGTGCTCATAGTTCTCCTTCCACAAGTTTATACCAAGGAATATAAACTATCTTATAAATATGAGAGTTTGATTAGAGCCAAATGGTAACGTTCTTGATTGCTGAGAGAAAGCAACATTAAAATCAGTGGCGGACGCAGATATTTTGAGTTAGTGGGGCACAATCAAACTTGTCAAAAAGGCGACGAAAGAATTTAAATATTCGATATCTTATTACAGTTGTTCTCTACGAGTTCTCATACTTTGATAACGTTCCATAATGACATCATTTTCAATATTGTCAAATACATCCTTCTCAATATATGCAATCAAACTATCATTCAACCATTGATCCCCGATTCGATTGCGCAAACGATTTTTAACAATTGACATCGCAGAAAATGCTCTCTCGACTGTAGCAGTAGCCACGGGAAGGACTAAGGCTAATGTCACAAGCTTGTAAACTAATGGATAAACTTCATGTTTATTTTTTGCAACCAACTTCTGTGCAAGATCACTAAGGTCTTGTAATTCTCCAAAATCTTCATGAGTGCGCATGTCAAAGATATATGTATCTAGTTGATCATCAAGTTCCAAGATATCTGTTGCGTCAAAATCTGCCGGATAATACTGACATAGTCGAATCACTTTATTCTTGTCAAAAGCGGCAAATGAATTATTTGGACACAAACATGCAACACAAAGGAGTAACTCACTATTGACCTCTGAAAAACGATCATTCAGCTCTTGAAGTTGCATATCAATGATGGCATAAAACATTTCTACACGAAAATGATGCAAATTTGTCACTGTATCACGTTGTGAATGACCTAGAGTTACGAACATATCATCCATATTGGGAACATTTATCTCATGAGCTTCACAGAACGAACAAACCATTCCAAAAAAAGAATCCCATCCATCATCTCTCATGGTTTGGAGCTGTGCTTTACATAATTGTACCAATCTCATGGCATTAACAATATCTTGATCTTTTCTTTGTAATGCTTTCGACAATTCATTTGAAATTCCCAAAATCTTTCTCATGAGATGTAGATTAAATACAAATTCAAATTTTAAAATCAACTCCAATAAAATACATGCATCACCTCTTGTTCCAGAACTTGTAGTGTCAGTAGCAATCATCTCAACAACATCAACAGTGGTTGAAAACATGACTATCAAGTTAAGTAAACAACTGTAGTGAGATCCCCAACGTGTATCACCAGAACGCTTAAGAGTAGTTTCTTGATTGAGACCCCGCCCGCTTGATATTTCACCCGTACTAAGTGATTCAAGAATTTTCAATCTTTGTTTCTCTCGAATAAGATCATTTCGTTTAGCTGATCCTCCTACAACATTCACCAATCTGTGTACTGAAGTGAAAAAAGTTTCTATCTTTGGATGTTTCTGTGCCACAACTACAAGAGCCAGTTGAAGTTGATGAGCAAAGCAGTGAATGTAGTAGGCACTTGAATTTTCTTTCAAAATAAGTGTTTTGAGACCATTATACTCACCTCGCATATTGCTAGCTCCATCATATCCCTGACCTCTTAAATTAGATATACTTAGACTATGTGTGGAAAATAATTGATCAATTCCAGCTTTAAGTGAGACATCTGTGGTACTCGAAACATGTATAACACCGATAAAATGTTCCAATACACGTCCATTCTTCACATAACGAATGACAACTGACATCTGCTCCTTCACTGAAATGTCTCGAGATTCATCCACTAAAATAGAAAAGAAACTATTACCAACATCTTTGATAATCACGTTTAGAATTTCAGAAGAAATAGCACTCACGATATCTTTTTGAACTCGTGGTGATGTTAATTTCAGATTTTCAGGTGCATTCGTCAAAGCAACAGCCTTAATCTCAGTATTGTGATCACACAACCAATGTAATAGTTCAAGAAAGTTCCCTTGATTGTTTGAATCTTTAGATTCATCATGTCCACGAAAAGCCAACCCTTGTCGTAGAAGAAATCGAACACAATCAATTGATGCATTCAAACGAATTCGATACTCTGTTCAAGTTTGAAGCGACTGTTTAAAGAGACAGGTTTGAATGCTTTGTTCTTGATTCTTGAATGATTCATACTGGACTCGAGCCTGATTGTGTGCGCTATTTGATGCCCCAACATGTTTTCTAATAATCTCTTTCCTTTTCCAATTTGAGAACCCACCATTAACAAATGAACCACCACTTGAACTGAAAAGATAACAATAAAAGCAAAATACAGCATCTTTGGCTATACTGTATTCCAACCAACTAGGATGCTCATTATACCATGAAACACAAAATCGCCTATCTTTGTTAGCCATTCTTGTGGGTGGAAATTCATGATTGCGAGGCTGACAAGGACCCCGTTGCACATATGTTCTTCGAATTTCATCTCGGACATTAATATCATAATTTTGTATTGGAACTCTCAATCCAGGATCTGAAGGTAGCTGTGCAACATCAAATTCATGACTTTCATCCCCAACATCCTCGACATTTGTTTGAATCGGGCCATCTTCAAGATTAGTTCCATCAATTTCATCCCCAACATTCATTTCATCTATTTTATCTCGAACATTCCTTTTATTAACATCTTGCTCATCACAAGAAAACGTAGATTTACGTTTAAAATACTTCTCCATAACTGATAGAAACGATCAATGAAAACAATCAATTCATTGAAAAAAAAAACAAAAGAATGAACTTAAACCTAATGAATTCTACGTCGCAGAAATAAAAATCTGGTTATGAAGTTTCTAGCCTTCAGTTCAATATAATTAAACTCGTTGATTTTTTTTTTTAAAAAAAAGTTAAAATCTCCAAAATACAAGTCTAAAGATAATTATTGAAACTATACTATTTTCACAGATAAAAAAATTTCCATTTAATGCTAAAATCAACAAATAGTGGTAAATAAAAAACTTAACAGTTAACAATGTTAACAAATAATAATTTAACATACTTAGTTCAAGAAATTCACTAAAAATTTAGAAATCAAATATAGACAAGACAAATTCAAACATTCCCGGCTACTGCCACAGTGAACTGAGTGAAGTACCTCCGGGTTGGTTTGCAAATAAACAAAAACTAAAACATATTTGTTTTGAAGTTTAGTCTAACCAATTCGCAAAACAGTTTAGTCTCGTTCTAATATTGGTTAGAAGCCGCATAAACTATTTATTCTTTTGTTTATTTGTTTCTTTTTATACTATATTCGAATCTCGTGTGAAAGGAAAGGGTTCCTGCAATTAAGATTATTGTCGAGGACGACGAGGAGGGAAGTTATACAACACAGAAGAGAAGTATGTTTAACTGTTTAAGAACTCTTATTTACACCAATTCTTCTTGTTCCAGAAATTGGGAGAAAATGTACTGTAGTTCTATTACATAGTTTCAACAAATTCAAAACTCACATATTAAAATAAAAAACACAACATAGTTACATAGACGATTACAGATGGATTTAGGGTGCACCTACTAACCGTTTAGAGGTGGACAGTGTCACGGTGGTGCCAATGGAGGGAAGTGATCAGGCGGTCGACGACTCGGCGGATGGCTGAGTCTGAATGGGATGGCAGTACACTTCACACAGTCGCAAGGCACTACACGTCACAAACTCACAGGCCACAGGCTACAGCAAAGACACGCGGAACGCCGGTTGAATATTTCTTGTTTCTCCGGTCACTGATTATGGAAGGCCGGAAGGGAAGGCAACAGTTTTTTGGTGTTTGGAAATTGGAATTGGTTTGTAAATTGTAATGGGTTTATTTTCTCATCTTTCTGTTTTCAAAATGCTGTAATTAATGGGACGGAGGAGTTGGCTGGGAAATGGGAACTTGGGTCTTGGGAATTCTACTTTTTTCCATATAAATATTAAAAGAAAAAAAATTTGAAAAACTTGGTGGGTCACGTGACCCACCAGGTCCAGCAGTGGGTCCGCCCCTGATTAAAATAATAGAGACCGCTTTTCCTAATCTTGAGCAATTCATCATACTAGGTGTTGTGTATGTAGCTCATATAAAGTGGAACACAGGTTTACTGGATCAAATAGGCCGATATCATATAGGGGTATTTTCTTGTACGGGCCTTTAAGTCTTGTATAGACTTGGGCTAGAGTTAGTGCAACTACTAATGATGCAACCCTATTATGCATACTGAATAAAAATTATCGCCGCTTTGCTCATCGTGGACATAAGTATTTTTCTAAACCACGTAAATATTTGTGTTGATTTCTCTCTTTCATCTCTTTATTATTGCGCGTAAAATTCAATACTAGATGATGAAACAAACAAATTGATAGAGAACATCCTACAACCATAGGAAGAAGGAAGAAGCACAGAGAAGCAGCAGCGGAAGAGGAAGGCACCGGAGGAGAGAGGGGGAAGAGAGGAGAGGTAGAATGTGGGCAAACCCAATCTTAATTCATTGCATTCATCAACTGATTTTCAATCCAATTACAACCATATAAGTAACAAAATAATAAACCTAATTTGAGCGCTTGGGTCAAACCCATATACAAGCCCAATAAAATATATGGCCTAAAATAAATGGAAGATAAATTGACCCAAACAAATGGCCTGATGAAGGATGATCTCCGCATCAACTCTCTCGGGGTGGGAGAAAACTCAACGCTGTCGAGTGGGTAAACCACAAAGAGCTACAGTCGAGCTGATACTCAAAATGCAAGTCATGCCACGGAGAACGATCTTTCTGATGAACCAAGTATCTAAATTCAATAGTTGATAACAATGAAAGCTGTAGCTTATTCTCAACGCTATGATCCACCCAAGGAAGACGATCTCTCTTTTTAATCAAATACCGATACTGATCTCCAAATAGTAGACGTTTATGCAACTTATCTCCAAAATCTTTACGTGATTGTGCATAAAGAGGAGCATAAGAAATTAGCACCAAATGCTGGCCTGTGGAAACAAAAGAGTGCAACATCGAAGGCTTGAATGGGCCCCGATTAAGAAACAATTCTTCTACATTGAATATATAACTTTCATTTAAGTGAGATGGCCAGTCAAATGAAAACCTTTATACGAGGGATTCAAAAACTTTGTCTTCACATTTTTAGGGAATTGCATCAAAGAGACCTGCAATAAAGTATAGTACTTGTCAATAGAGTACTCTAATTTATATTGCACATCGAAAGTAAACTCTAAAATTTCATGATTGGAAATGATTAGGCCTTTTAACTTGGCATGAAATTTAGGAACATTGTCAACATAATGATGAGCTAGCATAGCACGTCGATAATTAGTGGGCAACATCCTAATGTCAATAAGAAGGGTGTGCAGTCGAGTAATGACCTTAGAAAACAACGTGGCAACCCGTGGAGCCTCATATAATTGAGGAAGAACTAAGACAAAGTCAACATAAAAGTCATGCAATATAGTAGGCACAAGATCTAGGACATCAAAAATGTTTGACTTCGATGGCATTGCTTTAGGTACTTTCTCAATTATGTCAATGTTAAGTATATCGGTTACAGGTGTGGTCAAAATAGAGAACACGATATACTGTTCACAACTTTCGACGTCTATGAAAATGTAGGAAAGAACTGTACTATAATCATCTAAACAAACCCCTAGAGATTTTATAGCTTGTGAAAAGTAAGATTTGATCTTATCAGCACACTTCTCCATAAGTCTTTCCACCACACTAAATGCAATAGAAGAAACCTCTTTTTGTTTATTTTGAACACTATCCAACAGAAGGGTAATCAAGTCCAGAGGATATTTTCACTTTCTTCCAATGTAAAGCCCATGATAGTCTCTATGGATGTGAAGATATTCCCTAAATGATTACCTTTTAGAGCTACAAGAAAGTGTTGAAACATGTCAATTATTGTACGTTCACAATCTAGGTCCACCATGATAAGGCAATATTTCGCATTAGCCATGGTATCTAGTATCCTAATTGCCGTAGCATACAAACTGATGGATGTACTTGTGAGATATGTAAATGATGATATAATCAAGAGAAAAATATTTTGCATTATTCCATCACAAAAGGGGGAATCGGGTGCTGTAATGCGGAATATTTCACCAAGACAAGAAACAACTATTACTTGTATAGCAAATTCAGGATGTCTTAATAGCTTATTTGAAACCAATGCCATGCTAAGTGTATTAATAGATGTAAGCATGAAAGCAGAAGGCAATTGGTCCACTAGTGAAAGCAAATACTCAGTGTATTCAAGTGACGATAAGAGTTCATTAGAAGGCAATGAAAATTAAAGAAGTTTTTGTCCATTTGTCAACAAGTGGATTCCTAAAGTTTGATATTCATGCCATAATATTTTTTTTTTTAATTGACAAGCCAAGACACTAAAATAAAAGCTTATATTCAATATAATAAAATTGTTACCTCAAGGGCCTTATAAGAGTTAAACAATGCTCCACTTGCAATTTTCAACCAACAAAAGGCAGAGACGAATTGTTACACTACTCACCAACCAAATAAAATACAAAATGAGGCCCAAACCCCACAAAAGGTAAAGCCCCAATTGAAAACAAAACAACTTCTCTCTCACGATTAGGGATCAAGGCAAAAGCGACGGGTGTGGGAGGTTCTGCAGAGCAGCCCTGGTCTTGTTGGTAAGCTGGAAATGAAAACAGAAAGAAGAAGAAACCGAGGAAGGAGATGGTAAAAATGGATTGATGGTTGTCAGCTTAGTTTATGTGGCGCTGACGATAAGGCTGCAGCCAAGTCAACGAGGTTGAAGTCGATTTGATTCAATTGCAGTGGGTTGGAGTTTTCTGGATTTGGAACATAGTGTGGCGCGATTTGTTGCCTAGATTGAGTAATGGCGGTGGCTTTTGATGTAGAACGGGTTGATGAAGGCGACAAATTGGATTGTGATTGTGAACGCTGATGGTGGGCGTGGCTGTCGACGATTGGTGTTCGCAATTTTGGGAAAGGTATCGACAATTACGGTTACTACTGTCGGTTGTGGGTAGGTGGTTCTTGCTAACGGTTGATTTATTTGGGGCTGGGTATAGCAACAGTTGCTATAATATGAAGTTGGAGATCGGGTAGTTGGGTCGGTTTGGGAAGTGGATGAAGACGTGGGGAGCATGTATTGTGCTGTAGCTTTGGAGCGACGGGTTTGATAGTTGGCAGTTATAGGCAGAAGACGGTTACTGCTGCTAGGTACAGAATTGTTGATGTTGGTTGTTGTAGATATTCGGCTTGATCATGTTATGTTAATGGAAGACTGGTGGTGGTTTTGTTTAAGTGAAATGGTGAAGATGCTGGGAAGTACCAGGTGTTACGTGACTTTGATTAAGCATCATCCAAGGAACTTCTGGCTGGTGGCGAGAGCATTGAACGGCAGATGGATGAATGGGACAACACAAGTAAAGTTGCAGCTATTTTAATAACGAATTCCAGATTTTGGCTCTTATACCACTTTGATGTGAGATTAATTGAGAATTTCAGAACTTATCACATTAGAAGACAAGTGAGTTGAAATAACATGCATGAGAAGCAGAATAGATGCAGCAGAAAAAAGACAACCGGAGAAGAAGAAGAAGAAGAAGAAGAAGAAGAAAGGGGGAGAAATCGAGAGGAGGGAGGAGAGGAGAGTGGAGGAAGAAAACGTTGGTAGCAAACCACAATTCAATTCATCGTCTAAGTTTTGTTTTCAATTACAAACCATATAAATAGACAAACCAACAAACCTAAAGCTAAGGGCTTGGGCCAGCCTATTAATACAAACCCAATGAAATAAAACATAAATAGTAGTCCAAAACATAGATAAGAGTCCAAAGAAGTGATGTCCTCATCACTAGGAAATCCTTTGGAGAATGTACAGTTTGTTGCTTTGCATATTCTTCCTTTGACACAGTAGTCGTTGTTGTGCTGCTAGATGTTCTTTCTCTGATACAATTGTTGCTTCTACATTATTCTATTCCTTTTTCATTACAGTATATGCCACTGTGTCACTGTGCATTCTTCCTTTCAGTCTAGCAGTTGCCTCTGCTACATTTTTCTTTTCCAACTTCATTTCGAAAACTCAATCCTATAGGTGAAGGAAGGTGCTCACACAAGTGTCAACAAGTCAACGACTCTTTAAACACAACCATTCTATATGCATCTACTTTCGGACAATTTATGAAGTCCAACAATATGAGGACTAATGGAGGAAGATAGTGGTAGGAATTGCGAGTAAAGGAACCTTTCATCACTAGTTCTAACATTAGATCAGGTAGAGCAAAACTGTTCTAATACACTCACAGTTCAAGGATATACGTTACAGTCATCTAAAGAAGTATTAAATATAGTGAAAGTACTACAAATTTGCAGTTCTGTTCAGAAATGGAAAGTTCATATCAGATTCATAAGTTACATACATGCAGCTTGAGTTAAATGGGAGCAGGACTGACAATTGATCAACATATAAGATGCTCCAAAACTAATTTAAATCATTCATAGGATGCGTGACATTTTGTAAAAGAAGTGCCATAAGGAGAAAAGTAGTTTAAAAGGCAAATATATAAATAGTAAGTTAAGGTGTGTCAAAATGATTCGAGTTACGGCTCAAAATGTAAGTTTCATATCTATAATTTGAAGCATCACTCCTGAAAATCTCAGCTTATCCCTCCAAGGTCTCCCATATCAATAGCTTCAATTGATGCATAACCAAAATAGACACCTCTTTGTTCAGTAAGCAACAAACCAGACAAAATTAAAGAGGGAAGATTGAAGTGAGGTAGTGATGTTCTGTTGGCTCTGATAGTCACTTTGTGGTTTACCAATAGAACTCTTGAGTATAATTGTTCTCAGTTCTCAATAAGATCAAAACA